AGAGAGAGAGAGAGAGAGAGAGAGAGAGAGAGAGAGAGAGAGAGAGAAGATAGTAAAAGTACAGATACAAAATTTCTTTCTTTGCGATGTCGTTGAAAATAAATTTAGACGAAGATTGGGAACGGAAGAGCGAAATGTAAACAGGTCAAGAGAATAACGTTTTCTTTCTTTCATTTATCTTTTTTTCGAGAGCTCAAAACACGGCCGCGATGCCGACGATCGAACGGCTTGATTTCGCTGGAACGACCGACAGTGAGTCACGAAATTATTGCCACACACGAAGAGCAACAGGGATACGAAAGATAAAGTAGCAATAAAAGGTTTCTTATCCTTTCATTTCACGAATATAATGTTTATATTACGAACTCGTAAAGCTACTAGCTGATTTCGGTGAACATCGGTTCGGCCTCATTGACAAATGATTTTTCGCTCTACGAATGAATTTCCATTAATTTTCATACGCCAACGAGAAATCTTTTACTAATTCTTTCGTTCGCTCGTATCCTCGTTATACCCCCCAGCTTGTAACAATAATTTTGTAATTCACTGTACACATTTCCCGTTTAGTTTCAACGTGTACAAGTAAACGAAAGATCGTAACGAGTAACGCGAGTGTCCGGTAATAAGTTCGTTCGTTTCGGTACAAAAACGTGTTTCCTTTCTGGAGAGTCCAACGGGTTCTGTCGTACTGCGCTCGAGACGGCGACATAACTTTTACTTCGTGCACGGTCGCGTTTGTCTGTAGCCTCTTGAGGGATATTGACGCGTGCAGTGACTGTCATTTAAAATCGTACACTCGGCAATTCGACCGATTTCTTTACATAGTCCATCAAAATCGCAATTAATTACTGAAAATCGTATATATCGAGACATAATTTAATGTGGCTTTGTTTGATACGTTACAAAAGTATCGCGAACATTGTAATATCGTTTGGTGAATTAAGTATAGAATTTGCCATTTGTAAATTAGGCAAAATTTGTCACTTTGCTGCGAATAGAAATCATACAGCAAAAAATTAGATGCACTTTTACAGTAACACGTGCGATGAATTACTTTAATTAATATTTTGTATAGAAAGCAAATTTTAAACACTTAGGCATTGATTTGATTAAATTTTCATTGTTGTTTGTAATATTATTACATACATCGTTGTAGTATCATTACATTTCATGCTTTCAACAAAAAAGTTGGTCGAACCGGTAGATATACAATTTCAAGTGACAGTCACTGTATGTGTACGTTTACTTGTATATCAAAACAATTGTTATTTAAGATCGCAATACCTTTTAGAATTAAGAAATACACGGCATTTAAGTGAGACAACTTATTTATCTGTATGTAAAAAAAAAAAAAATACATGTAGAATTGAGTAAACCTCCTCCTTTTCGAAGTCGGTTAAAAATCGATATACAGATAAGGTTGCTTTAGTTCGATATATTCGATTACAGCAAACAAAAATTCATGTAAAATTCGTTCCTCGAGTGATTAAGCGATGACGAAGAGACTTTACCGGGCGTATACAGTCGTAAATCGTCGAGGAAACGGGTTAAAGCGGAGACAGACATCGTCTATCGTTATCGACAACACCAATACGGGACAGCAAAAGACGCATGCAGGTATATATAAAAAAAAAAAAAGCAACATCGCGTCACCTATGAAAACACAAACGACCCCCGACCTTTCTCAGGACGAGAATCATTCCGCTGCGACGCGTAACTGCGCTTCAAGGGAGTTCTCAGACGACAACAAGAGAGAAAAGATTCTCCTTCGAGCGACTCTATCAGAGACACCAACCTTTTTATCACTTTTCACGCGCAACAACCGGGAATTCATGCGCGCGCCATTGACGCAGCGATCGGTCGACCAACAATTTCTCAAACGAACCACGATCGTACCGTGATAAATACACATTTTTTTTTTTTTTTTAGCGGTTAACATACAATAAATAAAGTATAAAGTAAATTTCAGTATTGCCTTTTTCAACTTCGTGAAACTATTATTAAACGTACGACGAATGGAAACCTCTTTTCGGAAACCTATCAATGGAAACCTCACAAGAATTGTACAAATAGAAGATAAAAAAAAACTTTACGCGGATAAACGGTTCTGATGAACCGTGTAATAAAATGTTCCGATACGAATGGACGCGGATTTTCATGCGTTTATAGGGAATTTAAATGTGCAAGAAACTACAAACAGCACACAGTATGCAATAATATAGAAAAAGTATTAAAGGTGAATTTTATATTGCAAGATTTTCGGAGTGAAATGAATTCCTATTTAGGTTCGATTTTTTGAAGGTACGTTTTCAAAGATTTTATTTTCATAAAGATCCGCAGGCTAGCTACGAGAAACTAAATGTAAAATATTAGCTTTTAAGAAGTACATATAATTATTCGAATAGGACCACTGATACAAGTCTTGAAAAGAGGAGTTGATTCTGTCTTTTAGTTATACGTATACTCGACTCTACGTAGGATATTAATAGTGGCAATAATGAAATGTTGAAATTGAATTATTCACATTTTCAATGTTACGTATAGTGAACATTGATAGAATCTATTCCCAATATCAAAATTTAATCATCGACACCATTAATATCCTACACAGAGAACTGTCGAATACGTGTATAATATGTGTATACATTTAATAGATATACCGATATTATCAATGTTATTATCTGTAGTGAGAATCGAATTAAATCTATCGTCAATTTTAACATTTATTCGTTGACACCATTGATTTCTTACATAAAGAACCATCTACAAATGGATATCTATAGATTTAAATAAATCTACTATCAGTTTCAACATCTAATCATTTCTTCTCTAGACTGTGTTAAATCAAACTCCTCTATTTCTACATATCAAATATTGTACAATTTTCCAAGATAACCAAAGATAACCAAACTATAATAAAACAATATACGTTGTATACTGTGTTTGACAAGGTAGGCGATCAAAACATAAAGATAACATTTCGTCCGATAAACGAATGGAACGTTAATCTGCCACTGGAACGATCGTGTTGTGTTTATCTGGTGATACTACTTTATACCGGCTTAGCGACAAGTCTGGACGTGGAAAGGCCACGTTACAATGATGCAAGAGACGAGAGACGAATGGATAGAAAGAGATGGAAAAGAGAGAGATGGAAAAAAAGAGAGAAAAAAGGAATGTAAGAGAGAAAAGGAAGAAAGAAAGCTAGGTGAAAAAAGGAAAGAAAAAGACAAAGAAAAAAAGACAAAGAAAAAAAACATTGTCGCTGATAGAGTCCTCTCTCGGGTCGAGTTTCTTTCTTTCTTTTTTCTTTTTTTTTTAAAGTTTGGAAAGACATACCTTCGGCACAGCTTGCGAGGAACTTGCCGTTGCTGGAGAAATTCATGTCGAGGACGGGCGCAGTGTGACCCTTCAACGCACCCACCATCCAGGAATGCGTGAACTCCTGCTGCGCTTCGCGTCTCTTCTTGTTCTTGGCGCGTTTGTTGCTGCTCACGCCGCCTCCGGTTCCAGTCCCAGACGAACCGCACGTCGTGTCCCTCGAGTCCTCGAATTTCACTTTTTCCGATTCTGTGGCATCTGGAACGATAATATGTAACACGTTCAGCCCGTGTACGACGTAAACTCGATTTCAAGCATATTCGGAACGCCAAATATAGTTCCCCGTAACGCGTAACAGGAAATTCGCGCTCGTTGAATTTTCTCTATCGAAAAACGATACATTATTCATCGCGATTGACTTAAATTTCGTTCCGCGTGTATCTCTCGAAACGTATTTCAATAGATCGAATCAAGATTAGGAATCTTTATTGTCAACCCCTTGGTATCTAACCGTTGCATGATGTAATCCCACGCTAGACGTTACGTCATCGAAACGCCTAATACTATCCAGTAATACGTGTATTATACGACCGATTTCGACACGTTTGAAATTTGTCCAACTTTTTAAATCTATTACATTTCTCTCCTATTAGACTTTACATTTCTTCGGATGGTATCTCCGATTTGATCAAAATAAAGGTGGGACCGTTATTTCGAATCGAATCGAATCGATAGCTCGATATACTAAATGCTAATTTATTATATTCTCCGTTCAATAAATGCAATACTTTTTGTCTTTTAATTCTTAGATTCTTTTTGAGCAGTACTCCAGAAGCGATCAGCGGCAGAGTTAAAATTTATATGGATATTATTATTATTATAATTGATTGCATAATTACGCTATTTAATATGACGCGATTCCTATTTGTACATTTTGCAATAAAATAGCTCCGAATGCGAAGGGTTGAAGTTCTAATTTCATAACGGTACGTTTGATCGTGAAACTGAAACAGGCGAGCAGTTTGCACCACGTGCTGAACTAAATACCCAATACTTGAACAATTTCAGGTGATTTCCATTACACTAAATCTATATGTATACATATAAGACTCAAGGTGATGGCTATTAAAATTATCTATATATGCCGAGTTCAGTAGACAACAAATTTTGCTTATTGTTGTTCTTGTAACAGATTACAAGTATGCTTAACAATGATTAGGTGTAGAAATAGAATTCTCTTCATCGTAATCATTCATTGTAATGGAGACCAGAAATATCATTTTATCCTTAAGTTAAATTTATATATTTATCTCATGTTATTCCACGATTAACAAACACAGAATACGAAATCTTTACTAGAACTATTGTTTAAAATAACAATTGAGATTCTATACATTCACTATCTAAAGGTTAAAATTATATCGTTATTTTCTCGTTACGTGCTTAACTAAATTTACCTCGAAATTGAAGGTATGAAATTCGCCAATGACGAACACCACAGCACACTGTCTCATAACCAACCGGAGAGTAACATTTTTAAAATAGAAATTCGCGTTTTCCAGTAATTACTGAAATCTCATTTTATCTTTAAGTTCAATTTATACGTACATTTATATAAATTTATACGTACATTTATATAAATTTATACGTACATTTATATAAATTTATACAATTTATGTATATTTCTCTCATATTATTCCACGATTAACAAACACAGAGCACGAAATCTTTACTAGAACTATCGTTCAAAATAACGATTGAGATTCTATACATTCACTATCTAAACGTTAAAATTATATCGTTATTTTCTCGTTACGTGTTCAACTAAATTTACCTCGAAATTGAAGATATGAAATTCGCCAATGACGAACACCACAGCACACTGTCTCATAACCAACCGAAGAGTAAAATTTAGGTGTACCTCACGGTCCGATGGTTCCACGTATACTAATGCCGATCCGACAATTTCGTTCAGCCCTTCACGTTCCTTGACCTGCACAACGGGCATACTAATCCGATTTTAGGGTAAACGAGCCCGTGATACCCACGAAAGGTAACTTTTTGACCCGTCGCCCCACGCCGCCACGAAAACCCCTTCTCATCACTGGGAACGCTATAACCGGTTCTGAATTGTCTCATAATGGTAGAGGAAAACTTCCACCCGGGGGGGACGCTTTGCCACGCCGCATTTCATAATTGCGGACAACGAACATGTACATGAAAATTACCGTAACGAAGACGTTTCGTTCGATGTGACCAACCACAATCACGAATGAGAAAACTTCGTCCCGTGCGCCGCACACAATGAGAACGGAACGGTGTACCACCCCATGACTGGGTCAAACATCTTTCCGTAAATGTTGCTAGAATTTTTTTCTATTAATCTGTTGCAACGGATTTTTTAAAAAAATATTCCTATTTCCGTTATGTTTAATTTTTATTTGTCGATGAACTGAAGTATTGCAACGAAAATTATATTATTTTTTATTCTACGTCCACGAGCAGTTTACTTTCTCGCTTGAAAACAGTTTACCTGTGCCGCGTGGGATTCGTCGATTACCCGGAACACTAATAAACTCGTCACCGATAGGTATGACGTGTCCCTGTCCATTTCGGTCATTGTCTATAGTCCTAAGCTCTCCCTTTACCCACGAAACCTTTGAAAATTTGAATACGAGAAGCACGTATATTAAAAGCTTAGCGAACCGGTACATTTCCGAATCCCGATCCGCGAGTCGGTGATTCCCAAACTTGGACATTTATAAACAAATAGTATCGCTTCTACTTTTTATCAAAGTTTCATAAACAAAAATTCCTTTCCTCTGATAACTTCTCATTTCCAATCAAATAATCAATCAATTTCTACACCTAATATATACTGTGAACTGCAAAATAATACGTAAAATTTAAAAAACGACAGATTGTCTTATCTTTTTGTCCCTGACTGTAGACTCCTCCTAAATAGGACAATAGTTAAAGTAATATTAGAAAAAAAACGGTAAAACCTGCGAACCACCCTAGTGGCTTCCGGTCGAGATGTTACTGTCCGCGAACCGTAATTCAGTTTCCTGACTGTAAGTGGAAAAAAGCAGTCCTAGCCTCAACCTAGTTTCGCAGAAACAATATAGCAAGGTAAACACCCATATGACGCGCGCGACGAAACGGGACGCGTCGACTGAAACTTCGTCATTGTCGCGTTTACGTGGCATTTCGGTCGTTTCGTACACTACGTATAGATTTGTACCGGTATCGCGAACGAAGATGTATACGGTGCAATTAACCGGTACTCGATGATTCGATCAAGTCTACGATAAAAGTTGCAACTTTTGTCTCGAACTCGTTGTCTTCGAACATTTGTTGCTAAATGGGCGTTTTTAAACGACATCGACACAGGACCTTCTGAACTATATCAGATTATGTAAGTAAGGGTCAACGTTTCTACCAGCCAAGCCACGATTTTTAATGCCATCGTTGTGTATTACGTACTCGTATTTTATTGCTATCGTTCCTGGATCTAACACGTGACACCGTTCGGATCGTACTTTAACGATAGAGATAAGCGAACTTTATTCAAATTATAGGTGAAAAACAAATTCAAACGAAAAACAAAACAAGATTTAATGTTAACCGAAGTCGAGTCGCTAATAGCCGCTAGTAGTTGCTGCGACTCCAAACCTACATCTAAAAAACAAATCTCTAAAAATTCACGGTGAAAAGAAAATTCACGAATGTTGTTTCAAAATATTGAAACTTACATTCTGAATGTGTAATTTAATATTGTTTTTTTCTTTTTTTTTTCTTTTCTTTTTTTTTTCAAAACATCCATAAACGTTACATCGACAAAAACGGTTACAGAATTTCATAAATACAGATCTATACTAATTACGGATGAAATTCTTTCCTAAATAAAAATTTGGAATAACGAAATAAAGATGAACATCTCTTACTTTCCTAAACATTTTGTTTCGAGTACAAACGGATCACCCTGTAGGTAACGATACGTATATATATATAGGTTTTCTTTTTTTGGTTCAACGGAGAAAGCAAAACCGATCGACAAATAGAAATAGTCGTCCGCGGTCAGTGCACTACTCGCAGTGCGTGTCGCGAGTTTTCAGGCACATGTTTCACCGCACTCGTCCGGAAAATTTAACGCATTGCGACAAATTCATGTTCACCGTCAGAAAGGATAAGGATGTCGCGTCATCTCAACGCGCGCTCTCAAACATTAATTTCGTAGCAATTTTGAATTTTGAATTTTGACACGAAACTGTACAAGAATAATATATATATATATTTTTTTTTCAAGTTGAATTTATATTCTTTTTTTATTCAATTTGTATTATTCCGAAATACGACGTATAATCTCTCGAAATTGATAAATTACTTTTAGGGAGATTATTTACGAATTCGACGAGATTAAAATTATCGAATTTTTCGATGCGCAAGTATCGCACACGTTAGACGAAGGAAAATACATGCGTGCCGTTTCAGCATTATTTTGCAATAATTCATCGGCAATACGTTTAACGAACTTTCGCACGACGAACAGTCGACGGGAATCAGCGAGATAAGTCGCATTCGTGGAAAACGATCGGCAGAAACGGCCGATGTCTAAAGCCGTCTAATTCCGAATTTCGATAAGGTCTCGTATGTTAATGCCGTTCCCAAGTAAAATCGAGGATGAACATGAAAGACGTGCGAATACTTCCTTCTACCGTAGATGGAAGGACCTCGAAGGATCCCTATAGGCCACCTCGATTGTCCATTCTTCGCGCGTATCTCTCCATACGGCCCTGAGCGTTTCTCCTCGCAAGTACACGTGTACGCGCGCGAGACGCGCGTATAAATACTCGCGCCGTGTCCGTTTATTTATACGCAAGGGTGCCCCTTCGCGCAGGCTCTACTCGCTCTAGACCAGAGGTGCACAACGCACCGACCCACGGGCCAATTTCACCCATTCATTAAGCTTATTTGGCCCGCAAAATATTAACGTATATTAACCTCTTAAGGGACAGTGACGGGCAAAATCTTAGGATTCGAATAAATCTGAAGTTTACCGATACGTTTCTCTCGTTTCCTCTTTTCAACATTTTCCAATTTAACACGTTGACTGAACTCTTGACAATTTCTATCGCGATTAAGTTTGGTTTCTAGGCTATTGGAAGCTACATAATCAAACATTTATCGTGGGATTTATTTTTATAACTTCGTCGAAGTTTCAGAATTTAATTCAAATTTATTTGCTTTGTTACCGAACGTTCGAAATTAATTTTGTTCGTTCTTCGGTGTAAAGCACTGTCGCCCATACATGGGTGACATAGCGATCAACGTGTTAATTTGATAACAGGAGAAAACTAATCCGATTCCCTAACAACGACTAACGGTACATCTACGGTTATAGAAGTAAAATTCATGGGCAAACATTTCTCGAAAACGAGGAGAAAAGAACGTCAAATATTATTGCTCTCTAACGCGATCCATCTTAAATTCGAACAAAACGAATTAATATTGGGTTGTCCGGAAAGTCCATGCCGATTTTTGGATAGGTGGTGCAGGTTTGAATATGTCGAAATGGCTGAAAACAAATAATATATATATATATGTATATAAGAAAACTTCAAACGCACATTTCAATTGTAATATACGTTTATTTATATGTATATTTATTGAATTACATAGGTACCATTTTGTTCCATATATATACAGGGTGTCCCAAAAGTCGGAGAGGAGCCGGAAATGGGGGGTAGCTGAGACGATTCTGAACGACAATTTCCTTTGCAAAAATGTCGGATGGGGCTTCGTTAAGGAGATATCAAGCGAAAACCCTGACCAATCAGAGCGCGCGTATACCGCTGGAGCGGCCGCGATAGCGATGGCTACGCGCTAGGTAGCCGCTCTCGTACGCGACAAGTGACTCGACGTGCATCGAAGGATATTCACGCGGCCGCTCAGCGCGTAGCCTTCGCTACCGCGGCCGCTCCAACGGTCTACGCGCGCTCTGATTGGTCGGGGTTTTCGCTTAATATCTCCTCAACGAAGCCCCATCCGACATTTTTGCAAAGGAAATTGTCGTTCAGAATCGTCTCAGCTACCCCCCATTTCCGGCTCCTCCCCGACTTTTGGGACACCCTGTATACGTACATCTCCTTAAAGGTGGAAAGGTTGTGGAACGAAATGGTACCTATGTAATTCAATAAATATACATATAAAAAAATGTATACAATTTCGATGTATACAATTGAAATGTAGGTTTGAAGTTTTCTTAAAAATAGGCACGAACTTTCTGGACAACCTAACGCAATGTAACTTGTAATTTTCGAAAATTTCTATTATTTTTCAAAATGGATAGCGACTTGTAGTACTTATTCAAATAACTTCGGTAATACGTTAAATCGAAAAATGTTGTTACTCCCTACCGCCTCTATTCGAAACTCAGCCAACGTAATCAGTTGAAAGGGTTACGCACCACAGCTATAGAGAGCAAGTGCATGGACCAGAAAACCTAGCGCCGTTTGTTTCTTTCGCGCGATAAATTCATTGTCATGGCGACGAAGATATTCAGCAACGATGCGTAAGAAGCGGCCACGTTTCCATCTGCGATCGACACGTTCGATAATCGCGCACGGTGATGAAACCTCGAACGCTTCCCCGGGTTCAAGATCGCGCCTATAACGCAACGATATCATTTCGCGATTTCGTTCCCGCGTAAACATCACCGCGAAACAAAAAATATATTACTCCGCCGGCACTCGCTATCGTTATAAAATATAAACCATGAAATTGCTTTTCTGCTCGTAATCCTTGACCGGCAATGTTTTCTTGAATACATTAGTATTTTATACAGTTATAAAAAGAAATACACGAACTGGTTTCGCGGATGATTTACTATAAAACGCGACGTTCATTTTTCGTATCTCAACTCTCGACGACAATTTCTCGTCGAATAATTAGTATTTTCTGTACACGGCTTACGAAAACCAACGCAAAAGTTCTTCGTTCTCGATAGAATAATCTTTTCTTAATAAATTAATATCTTTAAGAAATAAGAAACTGTTGATCGAATAGGCGTCGAATTAATCGTGACGCGTTGGTCATTCGTCAGCCGTTATTAGAATATCATTTTTTACGTGTCTGTTCGAAGACCATTACCCCGAGGGTACATTATCTTGGAAATACGAAGAAAATGTAATGCATAGGGTTCGGACCGCTTTGATCACGAGGCAGGAATGAAGTGTACTGCTGCGGCACGAAATATTGCGTGCTGACGCAGCTGCGCTTCTCCCTTTGTCTTCTTCGATTTACCCCATGCTGCCTCTACTTCTCCCACGTCTATTCTTTCTGGACTTAAAACCTTCCATGGGCCGCTGCCACCATCGCGCTACTCGTATTTCGAGTGAAACAGAATGATCGTCGGAGTGTCGATGTTACAAAGAGGTATAATAAATTAATCGTTGCGAAAAAACCATAGATATATCGTAGATAGAGTAAGGGATTAGATCATACTTGTCCTCTATTTATTTTATTCTATTTATCATTTGTTTAAGTTACTATTTATACGTATAGGAAATATTTTCAAATAATTCCGGTATATCGAAATCTTTTTTTGCGGTGTTCAAGTACGAAATATTTTGCCTGAACGGAGTAAACTACGAATCTAAAGAAAATCTCTCAACGAATCTGGTACACTGCTCTCAATCTTTATAGTTTACGGCGATACGGTTTTCCGTACCAGCCTATTGCTATGATAAAGTACACGCGATACGGAACTTTATCTGGTAGAACCGAGTGGAACGCGTACAAAATAAGAAAACGACAAACATAGAAATACGAAACATCCACCAACGATAGGAAATTATTTTTCATACAATATTCCGCGACAAAATTATCATCTGTTCCGTATAGAATTCGTTACACCTAACAACGACTTGAGAACCGCATTCTTCGCGAAAGCGTAATTTCCCGGCAGTTTTCAAAATTTTAATGCAACAACGACATAAACACGATTGAACTTTTATTAAATATCTCGCGACGCGTGCATTACTATTCTACTCTAGTTTCTTTCATTTCTTTCTCCATCTAGTCTGACTGTAACTTCGATGTTGCATTATTGTTGTTTTATTTCGTTCGCTTTATTTTTTTCGAAATTCATTATCTTTGTTTTATTCGAAGATAGTTCGATTTCCGGAAAGTTACCCTATCAACCTGCTTCGAGATAATGTATCGAAATTCTTGTATATAAATTCATTTCTTGTGTCAATATCGAGAGTACGGTCATTAAACAAACAAATCAGATGGATAACATGTTCGATCAAAGACATTCATTCGGAAGCGTAAGAAACTCGCACCGATTACGTTTGCCGCAGGGTATCGATAAATATTCGTGAACGAGCAATTCGATACAGTGTAACGATAAAAACTGTCCGGTACGTTTTATACGAGTTAGGAAAGAAAAACGGTGTATCGGCATCAGTTCACTTAAGCTCGTAGATAAAAGCTTGAGAAACTTTTTCTCGTCGGAGAAATTAGGTACGCGCCGCGACGTCGTGTAACTCGTTACAACTGATTCCTCGTTCGACGTTAAAACTGCATGCGACGGAACGACTATCGTAATTTCCAAGCGATAAATATGAAATACAAATATACTTGTAGGTTTTCTAGTTGGTATTTCTCACGTATACTTTGACATCTCTAGGTTAGATCTGAATATTTGCGACTGAGATCTTATCGAACATTAATCGCTGCTTATTTACTCGTTGTTTTTGAAAATAAGCGTTTTACCGACACTGAAATTGGTAGATATCCCTTGGAAACGATGATCGGCAAGAGGTACGTACGTAATTTATATATTTGTCCTACGGTGGAGAACACTTTAGACAAATAAAAAAAAAAAAAACAGAAAAAGGAATGTATGTAAATGGAAGATTTACATTATATTTAATTATATGTGACACGTACTATAATATAATTCCAATTAATTAATAATTGTTTAATATTTGTAATTATCAAGATTTTATGTATAGATATATAATAAATTTATTATATAATGAATAAATATATATAGTATAAATCAATATTTAAATACATCTTTATGCACTCGTACCTTTTAAAGTATTGGATTCCTAAACTTTTAACTTGCGTTTTCGGACTTTTCAGGTCAAAAACTACAGGATTTGATAATTTTTACAAAAAAAAAAAGTGGATCCCTGTGACAAAGTTTAACCAAATGAAGTCAATCATGATTCGCCGGTAAGTGGTTCCTCCGTGAAGAAAAATCCAGATCTCTTTTTAGATGGTACACGTACATACAAGTTGGAAGCATCGTGTGTATATATAGTATGTGTACATATATATATATAATGTATTAGGTCGTCCCATAAGTTCGTGGCGAAGACTGTGTCGAAATTCAATAAAAAACCACAGAAATTTTCTAGTAACGATATAATGACTATATGAGAGAGGTGAGAAACTATTGTGAAATGAGACAGATTATTTTTTCTTGCGACACTTGAGAGTATGTTTCACATATTAATTTGAGAAATAAAAGTATAAATGGCACGAACTTTTAGGACGACCTAATATATTATATATATACATATCTCACCCGATAATTATTCACGAATGTCCAATCAGAGAAACGTAAAAGTTTCATATGAGAAAACTAACTCGGATCGCGGAAAGAAAGAAAATCGCGTAAAATTCAAACCGAACGAAAAACGGAAAGCACGTTTCACGAGAGGTTAGACGAGTCGACGAGGATTCTTGACTAAAAACTACACTCGATTTGTGTCAGAATCGAGCACGAAAGAAGCTTTATAAAAAAAATCGAGAATCGCGTGAAAGCGATCAGATCATCAGAAAATCAATCGAGAATCGAACATCTCGTAAGAAAAGAGAAGAGAATCGCGTGTTCGACGGCGTGAGAGGCTGTAAGAAGCACGCAAGCGTGCTTTCCTCGCAGAAATCGTGCAGACGCGTTACGACTAGTAAAAATGAATTTTCCGGATGCTTACTTTTCATCGAATCCGCAGATCTGTTGGAACGTGACAACCGGCTAACGATGTAACCGATTACGAGGATGACCCCGGCGAGAAACAGCGTGCTCGCCAGCACCAACACGGACACGCTGGCTCCCGGCGTGATTTTCGCCCCTGTATCCTCCATCTTCACCGCGTGATCAACCCACCACACTTTGTTTTTACCTTCACAAGCACTTACGACGCACGCTCGATTCAATGTAGGCCCCGTGAAAAATCGCCGTGAATTCCGAGCACGAGACGCGACCGAGAATACACTCCGACCGCGTGTTCCAAAAAACACGAGATATCACGCAACGATCGCGGACAGTGCGTCAACTCCACGGCGGTCCTCGACTACACGCTTTATAGACGGGACGCTCGAACGTTGTCGTGTCTTCGGCCACGAGTCGAACGAGTTGTAGATGCGAAACTCCATCAAATACTTTCTACGGTCACCGAGCGTTGTCGCCAATAGGGACCACCGCTGCGTTTCACTCTCGCCTCTTTCGTTTCGTATTATCGTAATTAACCACTTCGGACACAATTATTCTTAACATTCAACCCCGATTCGATGTTTCTTCTCGCACCGAAATAAAGTTTATTATTCATTCTTACTTTTTGAATCGACGCTGGAGTTGTCAGTTTCCAACCGTCGCAAGTGCCTTCGAGCGTTCGATGTGTACGTGTACTTAACACGCGTGAAAGCCTCCCGCGCACAGCGCGCGTCTTCGTAGTCAAAGGGTTAGGTTAAGTATCGTCGATAATTGTCTTCTCGATCCGTCACCGTCAAACTTGCCCAACGAATATCAGAAATTCCGTATCCAGGTGTAATCCGTGATCGAAACGTGACTTTCGTAGACGGTTCAAAGGAAGAAGGCGTTCGTTCGAATTCGTGGCGCGAATTTCGTAATTGCCATCGTCGAGATCTCGACACGACGGAGGGTTTCCGAACCCAAAGGTCTTCCTAGTTCACGCATAGCACGCTGAAAAAACAATGCTCGCATTCCTCGGTCCCCTGTACGTTTTTTTCTTGGCACCGTCGGCAGATTTTGTCTACACTGACGACAAAGTTACCGCTTCGAGTCGTTTCTGGGTCACAGAGTTCGTATTTCGTGCACGACACACTTTATCCTTCGAAATTCGTTCCCCTTTGTACGTGCGAATATTCAAACGGCTCGACGTTCGATTTTTAACGCCGCACTATGTCGTAGAATCGGCTTAAAACGGGAGAAACAACGCCGTCCCGAGTATCCGTCGAGCCTGAATAACCAAGAGCCGGCTACTCCTGTTACGTTTTCGTAGAAAGAAACGACAGAGTGTCGAGCTCCGTCACGGGGTGATATACTCGCGGGAACTCCGGATGCGAAAAAGTCGTCGTCACCTTGTCGTATCTGTTGGTGTACTCACGGTGCGGTTAAAAAAGAAGCCCGTGCGATTTACAACTCGGGAGCAATCGACGTTACCGCGCAACTTACGTAAGCCATTCGGCCGGTCGCGTGCTCTGGCGGCACACTCGCAAATTAGACGGAATCATCGCGGCGAACGAGACACGTTGGGAGGTACGACCAGTGAATGTAACGTTCGTAACAGCTCGAAACGCGTGTTTGCCCAAACGTGCGATTAGTACCGGTATATACGCGCTTGGACCCTTGCTTCTTCGCGTTAAAACCGCTCCTACCGACTGATCCCCCACCACCTTTCAACCCCCACGTAGATCACCGTGCTCTCCCACCGCGTTCCAACTTGCGCCGTCGAACGTTTCGTACGTACTGACTGCCGCTGCTAGTTTCCTATACATATTTCGATGCATACGACACGTCGCATGGCGCTTCTAATCCTTACAGGATAGACACCCTCTAATAAGTCACGAAATAACGTCAAGGTTAGCTCGAGTTACGCCATTTTACACCTAATTCCGCGAAAAATGTCAAGATCATACAGTGTTCTAACATTGGAGGTCAGGAGGCTGGAGGCCAGGTCACTTTTTTTTTTACGAATAAATTTAAATACTGTTCATCTTCATTTTCTAAATGTTTGTTTCACATTCAACTGTATCTGAAATTATATATGTATTTTAAACAATTATCTTCCGGTACAAATTTGTGAAAAAAATGATTTTGAAAAGAATATTTAAAAAAGATGGTTAAGTGTAATACGGTATAAGAATAATGCAATACTTTACAATCTTTTACTAATCTACTTGCAATGTAAACACTTGTGAAGTGTGGTTAAAGTGTAACTATATATATATATTATTCAGTTGAAAAATGACCAATCAATGATGAAAGCAATACTTTATAGAAAAAAAAGTCGATCGAGTTGGTACAATTTTAAGTGTCAGTTACTATATATATACGACGAATTATCGATTTCTTGTACCTGTCGAATTAAATTTTTCCAATTTTGAGGATGGTAGGAATTAGTTCAATCTTACGTCGTGATTCACGATGATACGTTCAGATCGAGCTCGAAATTACGACATTTTAATTTTTACGTAACGAAATCGCGTTAGTTTGAAAGTGGAAGATGACTGAGTTCCGGATATCCTATTACGTTTAACCCATGCGCACGGAGTCAGTGTCAGGATTTTCCTGGAACACGATACCAGAGTTCCGAGAAGCGCGATGAGCGCATTTTCTTTACTACACGCACGTTATTCGTACTAAAAAACGTTTACCACCTTTCCCTTTCTATGTTCTCCCATAATATTCGATACGTAGAAATTAAACTTTCACGAGTAATATAAGTATGTTTTGCTTTACTTTTGCGAATAAATTATTTATGTAAATATATTTTATTAACACTTTACCGACAGGTAGTATATTAATTGGCTCTTTCCCATGGTAACCAATACTTTGTTATCCATTTCTTGGACAACATCGTATGCTCTAATCATTGTATGAATTATGAAATGTTATATAAGTATTAATAATAGACAGAATAGACAGTTTCTAATAGACAGAATAAATATTGTATAATACTAACGTTATCAAAATAAGATATATTGTTGAATTTTGTTACATGTCCAATTACTACCAGTCGGTAAACTGTTAACTAAATTATCTAAATAAAATTTATTATAAATAGACCGCGAATATTTATGCACTTCTGACAAGCGTGGATATACAAGAATATACAAGGTTGTGAACAAATGCAGAAACACATAAAATATAAAAAATAAAGTACACGTTACAATATTTATGAATTTGCTTAAATATTCGCAAAGCGTCATCTGGGTTGATGAATTTAAATTTAATTGAAAATATATGGTACGAACTAGAAATTGTTGAAATAATCACAGACGAATTTCACTGTGATCTTTTTATCATCATTCTAAACGTGTTCTATTTATATCTGTACGGTTTGGTATTAGCCACTGCATAATCGAGAGTGACGGACGATCTTCGCTGTTGAGAGACTGCACGTTCGAGATTCTCGATCGAGCCTGCTGCATCATCGTTATCGATAAGTGGTCAATGTAGCGCCAAGACCAGTTTATCGAACACAAGGTTTCTAAGCTTCGTTGAACGGAAGAGCTAACATTACCGACGTGGTCAATATTCGACGTTACCGACCAAGTAAATCCTGCCAACGACTCTTGAGAAATTTAGCGTTCTCTCATAGAGTGAAAATAGGTGTTCCGTAATCGAAACACATGCCGCGCATTATCAACATGCAGCCAATCATAGAATTACATTATCCAGCGTGACCTAACGACTAGCCTTACAAATATGTGCTCGTAACGGCAAGATGCGTTAAATTCAACCCGTTACTCGCCCCGTTACTTTTCCTCATTTCAAACGTCTTCGTCCTCGATTTGACTCTCTCACGTGCGAGCTCACCATCGCGCTTCGATAGCGTGCTTATAAACGGAAGGTTTCGCTATATACAAGGTGTTCGATTTCAATCGATTCGGTCAAACATCCACAAAAATTACTCGACGAACGATATTTTCAAAAGCACATTTTGAATAAGCATTCTTTTCTGCTAGAACATAAATGTACTTGTATTTATGCGGGAGGCGCAACCCGCTACAGTTACAGTCCTGCCCCAGTCACGTGGTATTGTTTATCACGGTTCCATCTTCAAACCGATACGTTCCTATGCCCGATCCGCGAGCGTAATTTCGCAGAAATCAGCGTATCATAGTTAGGTGCTGTTCCTCGTAAGCGTGGCCTGGGTTATGCGTTTCGTTGAATGCGCAAACTCGACATACTTTATCGTCATTGTTTACGAAATACTTAAGAGGCGTTCAAGAGCACCACCGAGCTAATGCGTCTTAAAAGCTCTTTGTGACTCAAGTTCTTGTTTCTTCGGGAGGTTCTGATACCGTACCACTGCGCAGTAAGCGACAAACATTTTTTCTCACTCGTTCGATAATTAAACAACGAGCCTGGATCCAAGGCGCGTCGCGGCGAAACTCACACACGCCGTATTTATAAACACAACCGTCTCTTTCTAACTAGTTCTTTTTCGAGCCAACGGTTTATTTCTATCGCTCTCTCGACGTCGCATAGTCAGTGGCGGCCCTATACATACGTGAGAGACGAATCAGCCGGGCGACCGTATTAGGGCCTAGGGCAACTGTATTATAATTCTATTTTTATTTAAATAAATTTACTTAATCCACGAATAGAACAACCCAAGTCTCAACCTGATAATCCTTACAACTTTATCGTAATTTATATAAAAAATTTGATAGCTATAAAATATTACTTATTATTATTATTATTATTATTCGTCTAGTAGATTACAAACGTACTTGATAATAATTGTAAAACCGTAACAATAAGTAAAATTTTGTTACATTTGAAGCAATGTAATAGAAAACGCAATTCAATTTATTATTTTATGTTTACTATTTATGTTACAATAGTATACAGCAGCGATAAATACAATGCATATTAAATACTAAATGGTATGTTATTTAAGTTTTTTGAAAATTCTGTCCTTTACCATTTTGGCGAAGCTTGATTGCTAAAATAACACAGTATTCATCGCGCTTCGATTGCACCAGAACCTCGCGTATCCCTTTATGAACACCGCTTTCATGATCTCGGGCCAACGAACGCTGACTCAGATTTTAAAGGTCGTTTGCCCTAAAGTGTTTCTCGTAGAGTTCGAGTTTCCGGAGAACCATGGGAAAAATTAAAGAACGACGTACAGAGGTGACATAAATTCCCGTAAGCGTTCTGCACTCGGCGTAGCGTACACTCAATTTTCCTTTTACGCGATAGCTACGCTTCTGAAAATGCTGGAAATTACAGAGCGAAAAGAAAAAAAAGCATGGAAAAATAAAAATTTCTATCGGAATCACGCAACGATAAGAACGGATTAATCCAAGGACCAATGGTGTCGTCCTTGAATTAATATGTTCTTATCGTTACGTGATTCCGATACATATTTTCCATTTCTTTTTTTTTTCTCTTTCTTTTTTTTTTTTTTTTATGCGAAGTTTCGTCAACTGCACACTATGCATGCGCGAGAATACGTACATTACATATTTATGTGGACAGCTTTTTAATGTAAACAGCAAAACAAATTACTCGAAACATTTATCCCTAATTATATTTTAGAAACCGCGAAACAGAAACCAATATCTACGAACAGATAAATTGTTACTTAACAAACAAACAAAATGTTGATGCGTCGTATTTTTATAAACGAACGTATATTTTTGTTTATTCTCGTAGAAACGTTTCCTTTTCTATTCAACGACTCGATGACTTTGCTTCCGATATGGCCTAATAATTGCTATTGATACGGTCGAAAAGATTTACTTTGATAACTGGAAACGGCTCAACACGAAGTTACAAAATTTTCTGTTCTAACAAAGCTATAGCCTCGAAATTCCAATTGTTATCTGCGTAATGAATTAAATTGTCTAGATAAAAATACATAATTCGCGGAATCGCAACTTGAGTCATTATATTATTCAATCGACTCGCCATATCTCACAAAAGCGGTCTATGTTATCCATGTGCAATAAATTTTTGCAATAATCTCGAGCAATATGACACAGAAAGTTCTTTTCTGGAAGAGAAGTTTCTTTTCAGCAGCAGTTAACATAAGACATAAATATACGTTACATTTATCGCTGTAGATTTTTCTTGACATAACTACTCAACTATAAACATACACTGTGTTTATCACTGTAAATACATATTTGTAATGTAATCTATAAACACATACTACGTTTAACGTTACGCGTATCTCCGGTCTATGTCCAATTTTGTTATCATTTTTCAATTTACTATAACTCGATTAAACTGTAATTTTAACATTTATAGATGAAATAATTGCACGATACTAATAATTAATCACAAAATTAAAATTCAGTATTCGCATCTTTTCTGGAAAAATAACGAAAATTATATATCGTGATTTACAATCCGAGATAACAATCGCGACGATAACTTGCAGCTGCGGTCGAGGCAATCTTCATCGAACAAAACGTCAACAATTCTAACGAGAACGACGAATAATGTTTAACGTATGATTCTTATCTAAAACGTTTATGATACGTCGGTTCGGCGTATCAAAACAACCGTTGACAAAACAAGTACGTAACGCGAATTAACGTGTCTACCTTCGAACCGGTAAAAAGATAGTGGAGGCGATTAATTCCCGCCTGAACGGCTTATAAAAATGAAAGAAAAATATTTAACCAAGAGACCGCTTATCACGCGCACTTGAAAATTTCAGGGTCGCGAACGCGACGGAAATGTGTACGTTTATACGCGCTCGTTGTGGGAGTGGATATTTAAAAGCGACAGATCATTCACGAGATAACTGTCAGTCACCTCGGCTCGGCGAAACGTGCAATCGTACACTTCCATTCAATTAAAAGTAGCAGATTGCGACAACGTCAGCAACCCTATCTAACACCTGGACTCGTCGACTCAACAAATGCAGCCAAACAATGCAGGCAACAATCCATCGCCTGATTTCTGTTGCG